GCTTCTCCCTCTGCTGCTCCCCCTGCTTGTGTGTGCTCTCTCTCGCTCTCTGATAAATAAATAAAATCTTAAAAAAAAAAAAAAAATTAAAAAAAATTTCAAGACATTTGGGCATACTGTGGAGATTGGAAAGAGCATGGGGTGTTTTTTCAGACCCTGTCTTTATCTTTCAAGAGCTGTATAATTTTGGTCTAGTCACTTACAAGGATTCTGTTTTCTCATCTGCAAAATGAAGGTGATGCTAATAACAGATCTACTTCACAGGGTAGTGGTGAGAATCGAAGGTAACGTGCATGGGAGCACTTGACAAACTATAAATTGTTCTTCAAATCTTAAGATTTCTTTAAGATGGTCTTTTCAATATCTTTTTATTGACTGCTTATACTTAAAAAAAATTCCTATTTCCCCTCTTCCTCCATTAGAATGAAGTCCAAACTGCCAAGGAGTTTATTAAAATCATAGAGCATGCAGAAAATGAATATCAGGTAAGACTTGGAACTAATTTTTCTAGATCTTTAGTACCTTATTATTTTGCTGCTAACACATTTTGTTAGACTTCTCCTTTTAACATAAATATCGGTGTTGTTCAGTGTAAGTATGGAGACTACAGACCTTGCAACCTGGCATTGTGCTTACAGTCAAGGTTTCAACATTGGAAGGGATTATAGCCCTAGTTTTAGAAATAATGTAAGTGGGCTTCTTAACTCGCTTCAGAGATGGGAGAGGAGCTTACTAGGAATATTACATACCGTCTGTTCTTCTTAGAAGACTCAAGCATGTCCTTTGACTACAGAGTTACTTTCCTAATCACAACCATCCATTTCCGTTCAAGCAACTTATCTTCAATTATCTATTGCAGACAGCAATTAGTGAAAACTATCAAACAATGTCAGACACCACATTCAAGGCCTTGCGCCGGCAGCTTCCGGTTACCCGCACCAAAATTGACTGGAACAAGATACTCAGCTACAAGATTGGCAAAGAAATGCAGAATGCTTAAAGGCTGAATGTAGGATTCTTCAGTATGTGGAAAGAAAGGATTCAACATGCGGTCATATGATAAATAAGTGATTTATAAACGAGAGTGATATTTTGCTAGGGCTTTCAGAGCTAACAGGTTTTCTAGCCTCATGGAATACTGTTGAACCTATAGCATCGTCTTGATTCTTTTATGTTCTCTGCCTTGTAATTTTCTGTTTTCACTATATCTGCTTGTAAATTTTTTTTT